GAGCTTTCCAGCCATTTTTAATTACTTTACTATTGGGTCAAGTTGAAATAAGGATCTACAGCTGTTAAACAAGCTGTTGAAGTAGTTTTTGTAATGTCTGCAGCTAATACTTTGCTACATATTTTTTATTTTTTTAAAATAATTTTGGTGGGAAATAATTCATGTTAGTACTTTAATGATAAAAGAATTTTAAAGTTTATGAATTAAATTTAAGTTAACTAAACAATACTTACTGAGTTTTGAAAATGTTAAAGAGTTTTTCTATCAATCAATCATAATCAAGTTTTCACAATCGCACATACAATCAAATATTACACACGCAATCTATAGTCTAAAGCGTTATAAAAAAATTTATATTGTTAAATGTTTCTTTTACTAATATTTTGTGTAATTTAACTTTAATAATTGATATATTGTATATTAATCAAAGTTGAGGTTTTGATATCGGACATCTTCATATTATTAGTAATAAAGCATTCACTTTGTTTTTTAGTGAAATAACCTTGTTGAGGTTTGTTTTTTGAAGTTATTGAGTTATTAAAACACAAACCTTGCTGAGGTTTGTGTTTTGAAGTTGTTGAGTTATTAAAACACAAACCTTGTTGAGGTTTGTGTTTTGAAGTTATTGAGTTATTAAAACACAAACCTTGCTGAGGTTTGTGTTTTGAAGTTTTTGAGTAATTAAAACACAAACCTTGTTGAGGTTTGTGTTTTGAAGTTATTGAGTTATTAAAACATAAACCTTGCTGAGGTTTGTGTTTTGAAGTTATTGAGTTATTAAAAGGGGAGAACTAAAAAATGAAAATAAGTTTCTTTTAATTAGTAATTTAGAAAATGTAATGTAAAAAAGTAATCAGGAAAAATATATCCTGCAATATCTCATACAACCTTATTAACTAGTCTGTTATGTGTCCTCAAGCACTTTATGAACTACAATTTTATATGATCTAATCCTTACAACTTGTCAATTGTGTGTTCTTATAAATCCCAAGAAGTGATATTGATTCTTCTTTAGCACTTTATAACTTGCATAGGGTGTGTGATATATTAAGCATTAGAGGTCTTCAAGCCAAAGTTTTCAATTCAAACTTCGACCAATATTAATTGTTACAAAAAGTTTAGTTCAAAAATTTTCTTTTAATTTATTTTTGGTAAAGAAATGCTATATGCAATATATTATGTTTTCAATAATACAGTTGAGTAGTTTTAGGAACAAAAAATTTACTAATAAGCTGGAAGTATTCATTTCAGCTCCACTATTAGTTTTTATATATGAATCTGCTACTTATACGTTTTTGTTGAAATAAAATTAAACAAACCATAACAAGACTGCATTGTGGGTATACTGGCAAAAAACTTAAATCAAAAATCCCAGGTTAGAGAAATCAATCATTTAAGTTTTCTTCTAATTTGAAACTTTTTAAATCTTATTAAACTGCATTTGGTTTTGACATTTAAATACACCATAATGTTTAGTGTTTATTTAAGAAAATATTTATAGCTTTTATTTATCCTAATTTAAAAGCTTTTAGCCTGAATAAAATACCCATTTTACGAGTTAACGTTAAATGTATTTTTATAACCAGAGGAAAGATGTTTTATGCGACTATATAGTAGTAAATTTTTCCAGTTTGTAGAGCATTGTAAACTTTACAATACTGCATCATTATGTCAAAATTGTCAGTACTTGTCTTAATGTCTTTTGCCAATATACCCATGATATCAGATGAGTAGACAGAACAAACCAATCCAACACACCATCGCATCTGTATTGCATCTGTATCGCATCTGTATTGCATCTATTGATTAGTTTTAATCATTAATCAAAGTGTCTGAACCTGCTACTTCTACTTTGTATTTTGTTATTGAAATAAGTTCATTTTAAATTTAGATTTAAGATAAATTTATTAATTATTAATTGTTTTAGATGGAACCTATTGAAATTCTGAAGATTCTCAAAATTTACTGGAGCTTTTTTGTAGAAAGTGCTGAGGATTTATTTAAAAAACTTCCTATCAAAATGGTTGTTCAGTCGGATATATATGTAAGTTATTTAGTATTAATAAGTAAAAATGATAAATGCTTTTTTTTTCCATTTTTAACATTTTTTTTTTGTCTGCTTTGATCAAAAAAGCATCAACCACGCAACAATTTTCTATACAATTTCTAATCTTAGAATTTAAAATAAAATATTTATGAACAAAAAGTAATAAATTTAAGATATGTCTTATATTTTTAACAGCTTTAAATCTCAGTGTTGATAGCTATTCTCCTTTAATTTGCAGACTTTATTAGTCACATGGCTTGCCTGGACACATTATTCATATCAGTTCATCTATTTGTTGTGAAATCAAGTGAAAAAAAGTTTGAATGATCTGACAATTTACATACTTTTGTTTAGCAAGATTACAATTAATCAGTTTTTTTTCTTTGTTCTTTAATGTTTTTTTTCTTTCCAAGACAGCACTTTTTTTAATGCCGTTTCTAATTAAACTGAGTTCTTTTTCTTTATCCAAGTGGCATCTTACTGTTGTTTTTAATGACTTTATGTTCAACATACTAAATGGGTTTTCTTAAAACATGCCATTTAAAATGCTGGCAACAAAAATCAAAGTTTTCATATTTCTTAGCTTTTTATCCAAGTATGTAATTTGTTCTTCTAACAATCTGAATCACTTTCAGATTTGTCTTGTCTCTAGCTTGTGTTCAGTTTCTCCTCATTCTTCTTTAGATAGTTTTAATACAATGGAAGTATTATCTTACTAAAAATTTTTTTTTTTTTTACATTTAATTTACCCTGTCATTGCACTTTTTAATAACTGCTTTGATGTGCGATTTTTAGCCTGCCATTGCACTTTTTAATAACTGCTTTGATGTGCAATTTTAGCCTGTCATTGCAATTTTTATTAACTTCTTTGATGTGCGATTTTTAACCTGTCATAACACCTTTTACTAACTACTTTGATGTGGATTTTGAGTTGCAAAGGATAGTTTTATTATTAAATTATGTGTCAATATTTTATAATTTTTTTGGGTTACTGTTTCTTTCGAATTGAATTTGAGTTTTGTTTTGATTCAAGAGTATTGTTTTTTATGTCATGTTCATACTGCTGTAAATCGTTACTTGGAAACATTTAGTCTCATCAATGTCAGTTATTGTTAAACCGATATTTATTTTATTCATGCAAAAAATTTATTAATTTAATTTTCTTATTATTTTTAGTTGGTTAAAGGATTTTTGAGATTATTTGAAATAAAAAAATGGAATGGAACTTTTAAATGTTGATAGGATCTAAGCATTAGTTTGTGGTAGACAATTTAAAAATAAAAAGTTTTTGGAATTGAAACAGTTTATGTAACTTATGATTTTTAATTATGATACGCATTTATAGTTATTTTGTTTTTTTAGATTTTATGTTACCTTGGTATTTTGCTTACACTCTTAGTTATTTTGTTTGTGGTTGCAAGAAAAAAAAAAGGTACTATATTTACATGATATTTTTATTGATTGAAATTTAGACCAGAAAATTTGAGCGCAAATGCAAAATTTTGCAAATGGCGCTCATTTTTATAGCAAACATAATAATACTATGTATATTAGAGTTGTTCAAAAAATATAAAATTACTCAGAAACTTGATGACTGAAAATTTTCTAATAGATATTATCCCTGTGATTACTTGTGTGAAATTTTATTTTTCTAGCACAACTCTAAGATCACTTCACCTCTAAGGTCACCTCACCTCTAATGTCACCTCAATTCTAAGGTCAACTTACCTCTAAGGTCACCTCACCTCTAAGATCACTTCACCTCTAAGGTCACCTCACCTCTAAGATTTCTTCATCTCTAAGGTCTCACCGAGACACATAAAGTTTTATGATAGTGCACATGTTATATGTTCTTAAATAACCACAAAAAAAAAGTTTTTATTTTATATATAAAAGTTGTTGTATAAAGTTGGAAGGTTTTAGGGAAAGATCCAGAACATTCTGTAAAGTTCTAAACAGGTTTTAAGAATATTATAGAATGTTTTATTAAATTGCATAAACTTCTAAAAGGTTCCATAATATTTATGGAAGGTCCAGAATATTCAGGCTTGTTCATGAGCATTGTAGAACAATATGGAATGTTTCTGAATTCTACCAGAACATTCTGGAAGACTATAAAACATTCTGGAAGATTATAGAATATTCTGGAACCTACCAAAAACATTTAATCACTAACATATATTTGTTTTTATTTTAAAATCAAAATTAATCACAATCAGATGTAATATAAGGAAGATGAATAAATTTATAAATTATTCAGACATTAAAAGCAAGTTGCTGTAATAAAATCTTAAAACTGAAATTGTTTTGTTTTCGAGAGTAAAAAATCTTCATTGATATAAACTAATGTACTTTATAACTTACTTTATAATTTATTTTATAATTTACTTTATTTTTAAAGCAATGTAAATAAGTTTCAACACTAACACACCCACTAACTATGATACTGTGTATCTATGAACCTTTTTTATGAAATTAATTATTTAAACAGTTTTTTAAACAGTCATCAATTATTTTATTCACAAAGTTTTTGATATAAATGTAATACATACTAAGTAAGTACACATACTCAAGATAATTTATCTTTTAATATAAATGCAATACATTGTAAAAATGATTTTTCTTTAGCCAGACAGAGTGACCCTGCATTAAGTAATAATGAAGTAAAAGCACGTTTTCGCAAAAGAGATCGCATTAGATTTTATACAACAAAAATGCTTCGAAAGGTATTTTTAAAATTAACTTTAGTAGTTATAGTTTTTTATTGTTGTTGGTGGTGGTTATGATAATGAACTTTTTTTCTCAAGGTTAAACAATTCAAAGAAGATGTGCTTCCTGGTGCTGAACAGGAAGGAAAATCTGTTGGTAAAAGGCGGCTTAAGCGAAGATCTAACTCAAATTTAAGAATGCTGGCTAGGTGATCACATATCCTTTAAACTAGTATATAAAAGTTGAGAAAAAATTGATTTTTGAATACAGGTAGAATTTCTGTTTAACCAGAAAATTTTAATACTGGTTTTTGGTGTTTGAATTTTTTCAATACCATTATATACCAGTATACGAATCTTAAAAATTTAGTTGAAAAACTAATGAATTCAAAATAAAATAACTAAAAATCTCATTTATAACATTTTACAAATAATTTTTTTTTTCCTTAATATTCTTAGGTTCAAACAAAACCATTTTTGTTAGGGATTGTTGCAACTATGTTGTTAGGTTATTATTGGTTTCTTCAGAAATTTTTTCATCTAATGGCTTGACATTGACACTATTCAATACTTTGGTAAAATTCTGTTTGATTTCATTTTCGGCATATTGAATTATTGCTGATTTTTTTGTTATCATTTTTTTATTATTTTTATCTCTTCAACAGTTTATTCATGGGTTCTAATGCTTTCAAAACATTTTCCAAAACTTTAAAGAGACATATTTCCAAAAACAAAACTTCCAACTCCGACATATTGTGTTCATATTATAGAAAATGTTAAAACACATGTTGAAACTAAATTTTTTTATTTAAAGCTAAATAATAAATGTATATCAATAAAAACTAAACTTTTTGTTTTAGTCAAAGCTCTGCTTCTCTATTTTGCACAAGTTTTGCCTTTTCCATTTTACTCTGTATTTCAAAGTCTTTATAAGATACGCCGCAATCTACTTGATAATTTATTTTAAATGAGTTTCAGTATATCATACTATGTAGATATTATTCAAAAAATCTTTAGGTTTTTTGTTTTTTTTTAAACAATTTTTATTCCATTCTTAACTTTTTTTCTTATCTTCTCATTTATTAATTTTCAAAATTTAATATATATACATATGCATATATATATATATATATATATATATATATATATATATATATATATATATATATATATATATATATATATATATATATATATATATATGCAGGCCTTGGCATGAAAAAAACTTTCCAGCACAATGTTTTATGCCCGTAAAACTCAAATATTTTTTTAGCAAGCGCGATTATGCGCGCTCGTCATTAAGTTATTGAAAGTGATCTTTTTTTTTTGGATATGGGTGTTCCACATAATTTTATTAATTTTTAATTTGTTATACAGCATTCTTAAGATGATAAATATTTTAAAATCATTATTTAGCAGCGCTCTGCCTGACAAAACATATAAAATTCTTTCAACTTCCTAAATACTTATTTATTATTTGATTGCATCTGATTGTGTGTTTTTTTCCACCTAGTTCTTAATGATCTTGTTTTGAAGAAAAAATTTATCTTTTATGTAATTTCTTTGTTATTGTCTTCATCTTTAACTTAATACTACAGTCAATTTTTTTTTATTATTACATTAAATTTATTTTTTCTTTTTCTCAAATAAATTTATAATTTTATTTCAGTTATAAATAATAAGTTATAATTTTAATAACAAAAGCTTTTTAAATTTAGTTAAATTTTGGCCGAAAACATCTCTAATGCTCTAATTTACCGAATGACGTAGGTTAAAGTTTAGAAAACAAGTTTTTTTAAATGTTTTACTTTGACTGCTAAAACGCAATTAAAAGTATGTGAAAAGTGATTATTTTGTATTTAACAATAAGTAAACTATTCCCCGTTCAAAACACAACGTTTTTTGAAATAATTTTTTCGAAATTAAATAAAAAACTTTTATTATAATACATATGGTTTTTAGCAAATGCTTTTACAAAATTAAATTAACAATGTTTTTAATAATTACTTTGTATTTATTACACTATTTAATATTATAAATAAACAAATTAATATTATTAATATTATAAAAATAAATAAAAATTTATTTAATTTCGTTAAATGTTTGCTGTAAACGTTTTATATAAATGATTTCAGGAATGATACAGTGTTTGGTAACTTTGAGTTGCTACTCCCACTTCAAGTTTTATAAAAGTCCGGCAGACATTTTTTTTTTGTGATTTCTATTAATTAAATTAAATATTTTTCCCTGTTTAATTTTTTAAATAGGGAAAAAAGAAAACTCAAAAACCAGTCAAAACTGGGTTTTTTTGATATTTAGAATTCGAAAACCGGTTTTTAAAAAAGTCAGTTTCTAAATCCAACTACTGAAACTGTTACAAATTAAATTTGCATGAAAAAAAAAAAATCAAGTCTGTAGATTGATATGTTAAAAAACACTCAGAGATAAAGAGTAAAATAAAGAAAGTGAGCTTTGGCTAAAAGGAAAAGTTAAGTTTTTATTGGTTCACATTTGTTATTTAGTTTTGATCAAAAAATTATCACAAACCTTTTTTTTGACATTTTATTTAACACAAAAATTGTTCCTCCAAATTAATTGTTTCAATGTCAGAGAGTACTTCTCAATTTACTTGTTTATAAAAGATAGTTTGTTTAATAATGTAAACATCTCCATTACTTTCTATTAAATGGTGCAGTCTCTTAGTCCAACTCTTACAATTTTTCTAATAAAATTTGACACCAACTAGCTGAAACATCTGATTATCTCTAAATACATTATTTCCATGCTCAAAGGAAGTTAGTGGATTACAGGAAGGAGCCACAAGAAGTGACAATATACTACTATCCTTTTCAGCTTTAGCACGAATTGAAGTCCAGATTTGATAGTTTTATCAATATGCCATTGAGGTCAAATATTTTCTTGTCAGAAAAGAAAATTCTCAAAGATTGTTTTGGCAAAAAATTGTGACGCTCCCGATTTTCAAATATCCTTTCAGTTTTCTGAATATCTTTGAGGATTATTTTGACTCTTTTCTTGTATTAAGTTAATCCAAAAATCATTTTTTTAAATTTTCTGAGCACTTCTTGAAATTGTTCACTGGCCAGTTCACAGTTCACTGGCCAGTTCACAGTTCACTGGCCAGTTCACAGTTCACTGGCCAGTTCACAGTTCACTGGCCAGTTCACAGTTCACTGGCCAGTTCACAGTTCACTGGCCAGTTCACAGTTCACTGGCCAGTTCACAGTTCACTGGCCAGTTCACAGTTCACTGGCCAGTTCACAGTTCACTGGCCAGTTTTTAAGATAAGACATTTTTTTTTCTAATTTAATGGTTTTACACTTAATACGGTACCTGTTAATATTATGTATATGGGACAAATAACAGAACAAAATAAATGTTATTTTTAATCTTTCATTTTTAAACTTCAAACACAAAAATACAGAGTATTTCTAATGCATTGCATCAAGTGAATAAAACAAGGGATTTAGGAGGTTAAAATAAAGAAAACTAAATTTTTTTAATGTTAACTGGCAAAAATGATAAAACTTCTTAAGTTTTTAGTTGTAAATAATTAAGATTTTCCATCTTTATTAATTTTAAACAAAAAAACTAATAAAAAAAAACTAATAAAATTACTAAAAAAAAACTAATGAGTATTGTTGAGCTCATAAATATATTTATTGATGGAATGAGTTTTTTTTAGATAAAGTTAGAATAACTTATACAATTTAGTTAATGAAATTAAAGTAATTGTTAAATTTACAAATATATTTATAACTATGTTTTAGCAATTTCTTACAATTCAACTCTGTTGATTATGAAAGAAAAATAAGAGAGCCTCCAGCTGCATTGTTAGAAGCAGATCTTTCAGAGGTATTTAAATTTTTTTTTTCTTTCATTACTGTGTATTTAATCAAATTAATTTCAAATTGAAATGTATTGCCTATAGGTGAAAGTCAAGTTGAATCAAGGGTGCTCACATTTTAGCTTTTTGCATAAAAAACTTAAGTGTGAAACTTTCATAATATAAAAGTTTTCTATTTTGAGTAAATGTATTGGTACTTATAATATATGTGAATTTATGTAATATATAAATACATATAATAAATACATATAATAAATACGTATTTAAATAATACTATCAAAGATTGAGGTTGATAATATATTAATAAGGGTTATATATTAATGAGGTTGATAATATATTAATAAGGGTTATATATTAATGAGGTTGATAATATATTAATAAGGGTTATATATTAATGAGGTTGATAATATATTAATAAGGGTTATATATTAATGAGGTTGATAATATATTAATAAGGGTTATATATTAATGAGGTTGATAATATATTAATAAGGGTTATATATTAATGAGGTTGATAATATATTAATAAGGGTTATATATTAATGAGGTTGATAATATATTAATAAGGGTTATATATTAATGAGGTTGATAATATATTAATAAGGGTTATATATTAATGAGGTTGATAATATATTAATAAGGGTTATATATTAATGAGGTTGATAATATATTATAAATAAGGGTTATATATTAATGAGGTTGATAATATATTTAAACGAGTAGTTAATTTTAAACATTTTTTAAAAGAAGAAAATTATTTCTTTATTATTCATTTATTATCAATGAATGAATTTAAATAAATAAAATTGAATCCAATAACCAAAAGCAGTCATTATTATAATTATCAAAGCAGTTATTGTTTGCAGCTGTGCAAGTTTTTGAGTTACATCCTGTTTTATACAAATTTTGTTTACTTAGCAGTTTTTGAATTTGATGAATTTCTTTGAGTAGCTATCTTGTTGCATTACGAGTTATGAAATATTTTTTATTTTTCTTTTGAAAATTTACTGCATAGTCCATTATTTTTTTATTTTAAAAATGGTTTAATTAATGCATATGGTATTTAATATTTGTATTGGTTATTTTTGTTTCTTTGTGTATTTATAGTCAACTGGAAATGAAACTCATTTACCTGCAGAAGTTATGTATATGCTAAAGAGTGTACGGTAAGTTATATGCTAAAAAATGTACAGTAAGTTATGAATATACTATAGAGTGTACAGAAAGTTTATATTTTGTTTTTTTTCAATTTTTAATTTATACATATAAATTTTGTTTAGCATATTTGGAAACTTTGAAAAGCCTTTATTTTTTGCATTATGCAAGCATGTTGTTTCTATGACTGCATCTGCTGGAAAAATTATATTTAAACCAGGGCAGGTACCAGTGTGTTTTTAAATTACATATATATCGATTGATGAATTTTAAAATATTGTATGTCCGAGTTTACATAGGGAGTGGAGGAGATATCCATTTTAAGTTACTCTATTATAATATGTTTTTAAATATTTGAATTTATAAACGAGTTTAAACTTTAAAAATCTTTTTTTTTACAACTGTCTAAAATGGAAATACAATGTTTTAGAATTAACCCATCAATATATATATATATATATATATATATATATATATATATATATATATATATATATATATATATATATATATATATATATATATATATATATATATATATATATATATATATATATATATATATATATATATATATATATATATATATATATATATATGTATATAGATATGTATATATAAATATGTATATATATTATATATTATATATTATATATTATATATTATATATATATATATATATATATATATATATATATATATATATATATATATATATATATATATATATATATATATATATATATATATATATATATATGTATAGATATTAGCCAATCCCATAATTTTTTTTTGAGTACCAATTTTTATGTGGCTAATGAGTGGCGTACAGATGATGTTAATATAAAAAAAAAGAATTATTTTTTATTTTTCTTGATAGAAGTATTCACGTTGATTGTTCCAAGTTATTCTTTTTATGATTTTTGAATAAATTTAGAGCGATTCCCAAGCATTGTTGTGAATAGATTCTGATGTCAAATCCAGTTAATTTGTTTAACTATATTTTCTTCATGTACAAAAAAAAAACACTGTGCTTACTAATTTAAGAAATATGTTGTACCTATCTTTAACTGATTGCGATAGATAAATTAACACTTTATCTATTGTAAAGTGATTTTTTGTTGATCTTTGAGCTTTTTTTCCAGTCATACGACAAACTTTATGGTTTTTACCTCATTTGGTATCAAATGATGTTTTTTTTTAAAAAAATACTGTTACTACCTTGGATCAAACAAATCCAAATTCAAAATGGTTTCCTTGAAAGATTGGGTAAAGGACTTTCGATCTTTTGTTGTAAACTATATCAATTTGATTCAAAAATATATATACACATTTTTTTCTGTGGTTATTTTAGGTGCTCTAAGAAGACCTAATGGTCGCATCACAGAGCACCGCAGAAGAGCATTTAACTTGGAAGTTTATGCTTGCTTCATGTCAAAAACAGGATATAGTAGGCATCGAACCACAGATCAGTAAAGGATCCAGCATTTTTTGGTGTTTGAGAAAACATTTGTATGTTTACACTTTTGTCAAATAATGGTGCTTTACAAAATATTGCGATGGTTGGAGGCTGGGAGCAAGAAAAGCCCTAAAATTTCATCCCCCCATCCCCAAACATGAGAACAACAGGTTGGTATAATAATTTTTTTTGCTTTTCTTAACTAAGTTTATATTCATTGATAAATTTTATGTTTCATAGTATTATCTCTCAGCATTTATAAATTATGACCATATAAAATTTAAACCCCCTACAATTTGTGGGGTTACAAATTTTATATGGTCATAATTTTTGAACGCTTAGAAATTGTTAAACAGTACTTAAAATTTATTGATGAATATAAATTTAGTTAGAAATAGCAAAAAAATTATTTCATCAACTTGTTGCTCTCACGTTTGGGGCAGGGGGGATAAAGTTTTAGGCTTTTTTTGTTCCCATCCTCCAATCATTGCAATTTTTTAAAAAGCATCATTATTTGACATAAGTATAAACATACAAATGTTTGGATCTCAAAAAATGCTGGATCCGTCACTGCCACAGATCTCTTGTTTCTGAAGCAAATTTGCTTCAGAGTTCAGTGTTAAAACGCTGCAAATGTACAATAAATGTTTATATACATATAAACTTTCAGCTTAAGACAAATATCTCAAAATAATATGTAAAAAAATAATTTTTAAATGTACTTTTAAGGTTCAGAGTTTGCAATTAGGTATCGGATCAAAATTTAAATTGTTAAAACTATTTAATAAAGAGAAAGAAAGGAAGCAATTACTGTAGCTAGCTCCTTGAATCCACTCCTCTTTTTTAATGGTTGATTACAAGAACTCTTTATTTAGAGTAGCTTCTAAAGCTCCTCCAAGCTCATCACACTATTTACATTATCTTAAATAAATTTTACTGTAACTACAGCAAAATTGAATTTTTTATTACAAAATATTTTTCTTAAAACAAGAAATAGATTTCTTGTTTGAGGAAATAAATATCCTATACTGCAATTTATTTTTCAAAACAAGAAATATATTTCTTGTTTTGAGAAATAAATTTCTTAAACTATGGTCAATAAATTTATGATTTTGCTGTGAGTTCTGATGAGGTGTTAGCAACTTTGAAAGTTTTTAAAAAAGTTTAGAATTCATTGTATTCAAAAAGTCTGAGGGAGTCATATCCTTAAGAATTTTTTCAAACTATGACCTAGAATATCAAAATATAACCAGTAGTCTGGTCAAATATACAACTCAAGACCTAGTGGCTGTTCTTTATCAACAAAAACTGCTTTTAGAAGGGTTTCAGCTTTGATTTTATCTGTTTTTACATCTTTTCGGACCTTTCTTTGTTTTTGAATACAAAACTTTTTACCATTGCTGTATTGTGGTCAATAGATGCTTACGCCAGCACCATAGACCTTTATAGTTTTATTACTTCTGGAGCAGGCTCAATATACATCTGCCAATAGTCTTGTTGATCTTAAAAGTGTAAATTAAAAATAATGCAATGTAGATAAAATAAGGTTTATATTGGCACTGCTATAAACTTATTACATTTAATTTTGATAAAATCAAAGTGCTATTTCTATTGATTTCAATTTTATTATATTTCTACCGGTTTTAAGAAAAGTCTGTCATTGGAAAAAAAAAATTGAGTTATTTCCTTTGTATTTTACATCTGATTTTAAACCATTTCGCAAAACACTATTTTTAAACAATTTGTTACTTTATAACATAAATTATTCTTAAATAATAAGACTAAAATATCAAAACTTATGAAATTAAGTTTTGCTTTAAAAAATGGAAAATCAGAAAAGTGAAAGGTAGTCAGCCATTCGATTGATCTCTTTGAGTATTTTATTACTCAGAATAAAAATCATCTTGATTTTAGAAAAATACAACTTGAATTTCAAGGTGTGTGAAACAGCTCCATATTTCTTAATTTCACCTAATGGTCTGATTTTTTTCCGCAAGTTCATAATAATCTCTTCATTTCTCAAAAGTAAATAATTTTAAAATTAGAAACTTACACATTTTGTTTTTGCAAAAATGTATTTTAAGTGAAGCTATTTTTATCTTTACCTTAATATTTTTTTACTTTTTATGGTATTTTTTTTACCTTTTATGGTTCTATGATATAAATAGTTTATTCTCTGGCTTTACAGTTTTATTTATAGCTACAGCTATATGAAGCTCTCCGACATGATTGCAGGAGGTTAACAAGAATAATGATCGTCCAGGAAACTTAGCTAATCTTGTACAAACCCCTTTTAAATAGCTATGGCTTAAAGTGGGTGAACTGTATGAGATCAAAAGCATCTAAAAAATTTCTAATTGCTGTGTATTGGGCCTCAGCACTATTGTGTTTAAAAACCACATTTTTTTAATCTCATAACGGATTTGTGCAATTTTAAAATATCACCCGTTATTCAAAATAAGAGCAATAAAAATGCGCACAATCAGTATAGATAAAAAACCTTTCATTATTTGTAATGACGCTATTATATAGTTAATGATTTGTAAATTTCTATTCGTGACGTTTATTTTATTTATTTAAAATTTTACTTTGATTAAAAAAAAAAATGTTTAGGAAGGAAAACTGTAAAAATTGCAATAAAAATGAGCTAATTTTTTTTTAAGAAATAATAAAATTTAAATATTGAACAATATTTTGTAATGTTTTAAAATAAATTTGACATTTAAGTTAAACCCAAGCATTAACTTTAATTTTAATAAACCTAAATATATTTTTTAATCATAATTAAATTACATATTTTTTGAATCAAAATTAATTTTTTTTTTTTTTTATCAGAATGAAATGATATATTTTTATTAAATTTGTTTTAGATTAAATTGTATATTTTTTTATCAGAATTAAATTATATAAATATAATCTTTGCTTCAAGCTTAAAATATTAGCGTTATTCAAGTGAAAAAATCAATCATTACAATAAAAAAATAAAAAAAATATATATAATATAAAATAAATAATAAATTATAAAATAAAGATAAAATAAAATTTAACTTTTTTTTTTAATATTGATTTTATTTTTTATTACTAAATAGAATTTTTTTTTTTATTGCAATTAAAAGTTGTATAAATTCTTGTACTCGCCAGATGATAAATAAAAATAGTTATTATATATATTTCTGCTACGTTTTTTTTTTTTTTACAAAAAATGATTGTTTCTCTAACCTAAAAGTCTTAATTTTTTTCCTATTAGTAGTCCATAAACTTATTTATATTTTTAGAGCTCCTGAATACCAAAAATAGAATGAAGTTATCTTTTTGTGGCTTTCAAATCCAGAGTCCTTTTTGTTACTCTGCATCCCTGCTTTGTATACAAAAAAAAATTGTCGTTAACTATAAACAATTGTATTTTCTGTTACTAAATATTTCAATAAAATAATTAGCATAATAGAGATTAAGTTTTAGTAGTTTTTATTAGTTTTTTTAGTTTTTTTCATTAGTAAATAGCGTCCATATTTAATATAATTATCATTCAAACTTTTGTAACAAACTTTTTTACATAACCGTCATTCAAGAGTTTTTTTTATAAAATTAATTACTTTTTTTATTTTACTGCTTATAGAATAATTTAAAAGTTAAAAAATGATAAAAAGTTGCTTAATAGAAATCGCTCTAAGCACAAGTAAAATTGCATAGCACATACTTAAATTGCCGGCAGCTTAACGCTTTAAGACAAAGCCTGTGTGCTCTATCTAAGTCAAGTTCTCTTTAA